TTCCTCGCACACACACACACACACACACACACACACACACACACACACATATATATATATATATATATATTCGTCACAATAGTTTTGTTTGCAATACCGGGTGACTTCCAGGGGAATTTCGTCTGGTCATTCGTATACTACTTATTATGAAACATTCTATAAAGACTATCAAGTCACGTTTGTTGCAGTTAGTAGCATCTAACCTACCTACAAAACATTGAATCATAGCATTGAACTGGCTCTGAAAGAGCTGTCTATCCAAGTCACCCGGTGTTGCGAACAAGGTTGTGAGGAAATTCTGTCCACTCATTCACATACTACTTATTATGCTATATATCCGACTATTAAGCACTGTGTTCCCCATAACCACCATGAATGATAAAAATCCGGGTGCATGTTAACATCCAAACGTTTTATTTTCGGGTTTCGAGCATCTCAAAAAATATCATGTGTTTATGGGTGTGAGTACGTGTGCAAAATAGCAGATTGTCCTAAAGACGGAGGTCTCTGCAACAAGCAAGGGTTGGGTAAGGTAGGAATCACAGTCTGAACAACAGATGCAAGGCGTACGCCGGGTCAGAACTGACGTTTCTTGTCGGCTAGACGCCGGCGATTATGATTCGCGAAGCGGGCCTTATGCGAGCTTTTATAGGCACGATCAGCAGCCACTGAATGTGAGTTGCCCGGCTGTTTCGATGTGCTATCGGTTTCCCTGTCCGGTTGAGAAATAGGTTCGGGATTCGCTGTAGACGCTCTTGAGGACAGTTGGTCGGGACGAGGGGCGGGAGCGTGCGAGTTCGATGGACCGGATTGCATCGGGTGGGGATTGAAACGACCGCGACGAAAAGCCTGAAAAACAATATATATATATATATATATAAACGGGTAAGTGGAGGCTTGTCGTAAAGTACTATTCTTCAGGGTGACTATTATTATGGTTTTCTCCCAAATGATAAAAAGTTCTTCAGGACGCATATGTCGTACAGGAACGGAAATGCCACACAGTGAACGAGCCCAGTAGTATGAACAAAACTTACACGTTGAGTTTGTTGGCGCTCGCGGACAACCTCGGGATTCTCGATTCGTAAAACGGTATTTCGAGCGGAATCGGGACGCTGAGCAAGGCAATTGCATATTAGGGATGATCGAGAAAAAGAGAAAGACCGGGACAAGAGGAACAGATTGCAAATGATATGAGCAATGTAAATCAAACGCAATATAACTGGATTTACACCGTAGTTTAATGACCGGTAATCATGAAATCGGTATTAGGCGTCTTGTAATGCACGAGAATGAAAAAACAAATTACAAATTAGACAGTGTTTGGAATTGTATTGACCGACTAGGGTATGTGTATACAGCTAATTGATCATTGGCAGTCGAAATAAAAAACGAAGGGAATGGTATCACTGAGCAAACCCATGTTTCCGATTTCTCTGTTCAAAATAGCAAATGGTAATTTCTTTTGTTTCTAGTAAAATAATTGAAATACAATACATTTCACACACAATGTAGCTCCCACAACTGCAATTTCTGATTTGCGAAAGACGCTTATTCCCAGAGATGAATACAAACTGACTCTTACACCGGTGCAGTTTTAGCCCGGTTCACTCAAGTGTGGCCTACAAGTGAGGCATACTGCCACCACTTTTGAAAAAGAGATAGCTATCAAATAGTGACGAGAAAGCCATAATATACATTTCCAGTGTGAGGCTGTCTAACCAGTGGCTTTTCGTAGTTACGTAATGCTTATCTCAATAAAGATAATATTGTTGCTACCAAGTTAAATTACTTCATAACGATTTATTTCGCTCTCCGAACATCGCTACACTGGCGCTCAAACTATCCAGAAGAACTTACAAATTACATGGATCTTCATCCGGAAGTACAGTGTCGTCTGTGTACTCCAGATCGGACAGTCTACCACTCGGAACCAACTCGATGTTACTATGCTCAGCGCAGAATGTTTACCGTGGCAGGTGGCGGTTGGAAAAAAAAAGTCAAGGGTGGTCAAACTAATACCTGGCACGAAGGTATGAAAACTCTAACCAGGAGACTCGGTCCCATAGGTCGCGTTAGGCTCCCTGGATGGGGGCTTCGACATCACTGTAATTCAAGGTTAGAGAGACGACGAGCGATAGGCTGAGTGTCGTAAACATTGACACCCATGCATTGCCTCAATTTCTTTCCAATCTTCATCCACTGAAATTCTCCACTTTCTCCTTGACTCCATTTTCTACTCTCCTGTCTTTCTCCTACTGCTTCGTCCAAATGGACAGCCAAAAGACAGTAACCAAAATTGGCGCACGAAAGTGCATAGGTAATAGTTGTACAAACTGAAAGCTTTGCTCTCCGCACTGGATCGGTCTGCAGAACCGATATTAAATATACTATCCGGACTTAATGTTGTTGTTTATGAAAAAGAAAACTATGAATGCGAACAGATTAAACACTCCATCAGAACGACTAAAATTAGGCTAGAAAATAAATACACCAATCACGTTTCTCCGAAGTGTTAGGACGGAGCGCACAAAATCCGTCCTGCCACGCAGCGACCCGCGTCACACCACAAGAGCGCTCGTGACGCCCAAGTCGAATCGACTCCTGATCAGATGACTAAGACAAATCAAATAGCTGTCGTCCGATCGATCAACCTGAGTGTCAAGGTCACGATCCGATTGGCGCATCACCACGTCTGTTTGCCTACGCTCAATCTAACACATATATTTACTTGTTGTTTCATGATCAAGAATACACACTGACTGTCGTTTCTCAACAGTGTTCTTTCTCCAGTTGTTGGGGCCTAGACAAAGAGGTGCACGTATCGATTATATCGTCTTGACACAAGACATAACACGAAGGACCGATTTGAATGAACAAACTACCATATACACAGACACACACGGAATATGTTAGATTTTGGAAAGTAATGACCCAAATCGATTCGACAACCAGTAGAACTGCACACTCTCGGGTACGTCTGCAGGTAGTGAGTAGAACAGTGAAGCCAAGCTTCCGAGTTAATAAGGGGTCGGCTATGGTCAGTGACAAAATACGGGGTTGTGGCTATTCTGTCCAAAAACCATAGTGGTTCGTGAACGATATTGTGATGTACCAATCCAACCAGCCACTCCATTCGGTCATCATTCTCACCCTTATACTCCACAGGTACTTGGCTGCCA